ATAATGATTCATTAAAATGCAGCGCCTTCGCCTGCTCTTGGCCCTGCACCAGCCCGGCTGCGCTCCACCCGGCCTCCAGCACCTTAACCCTTTGCGGGGTCCCATGGGGAGCTCCCTGGCCTGGGAGTGGGTGAGCAGGGCCGAGTTGACCCGGGGAGGGGCCTCATAGAGTGGTCTGGCCAGGGACCTTGTGCTTTCCCAGGGCAGCTGGAGCCCCGAGCCCCCCACGTTCTGGCCTCAGCCCCTCCAGGGACGACAGGGGCTGAAGAGAGCTGGGGGGCGCAGGGAAATGTCTGCGGCTCACTGGACCCCCCACTCCTGGGACACCCCGCCCAGGCGGGAGGCAGGAAGGTGTCCTGGCCTCAAGCAGCCGGTCTGGGGCTGAGCTGAGGAAGTCACTGGGCACCTGGGGGGAGATGAGGGGAGGGAAGACCCCAGGGGCCCAGGACACGGCAGTCCGCAGGAAGGGGGCCGGAGGGCTCCAGTCCTGTTCGTCCATGTGCTGGCCCTGGCCTCTCTCAGTGCATCCTCAGGGCACCTTAGCGAGGCCGCCGCTACCCCATGGTCATGGGCTCAGAGGGACAGAGCTTCCAGCCCCTGGCCCGGTGACCTCCCTACAGGCACTCAGGGCAGCAGGAGGCCGGGGCTGGGAGCGGGCATCCCAGGCTTCCCCACCTTTGAATGCACATTCTCTGCCCATTTCATTTTCACTTGATTTTTTTAAGCAGCAAGTCTGCCTTATTCTGCCGATGAGCCTGGAGCCGCATGGTGTGGCTGGAGGTGGTAATGGCTCCAGGGCCTGCTCTCAAGCGTCCACTCAGGCCCTAAACTCGCTGGTTCTGCCCAGAACATCAGGGGTCACTTCCATCTTACAGGTGGGGAAACCAAGGCTCCCAGAGGGAGGCCAGTTGGCCTGGAGCCAGCCGGAGAGGCACGAGAGAAGACAGCCTCAGAGCCTGGGTGCCCAGCATGCGGTCCGGGGTGGATGCGCTGGGCCCTCGGGGCCAGGCCGCGGCCCTGCTCTCAGCTGCAGGACAGTCCTTGGTGGCAGCGGGCCACAGTCCTGGGTGTATTTCTGCCTTCTGCTGCTTCCCTCCCTGGCTTTTCTCCTTGGAGGGCCCTCCCCCACGCCCCATTGGGGCCAGGAGCCTGAGTTTGGGGACAGAGTGTGGCTACACGCCTCCTTCCTCGAGAAGGAACCCTCACCCCAAGCACCTGGCAGAGCACCCCTCCTGCCCTGTCTTGGGTCTACACTGGCCCCAGGGTGAGGGTGGGGTACTTGGCACCACTGATTTTGTGGCGTCCAGACTGGGTTGTGATCAGCACAGGTTTTCCATGAAGTCTGCTGGAATGTGTCCACGGAGGCTGTCCACACAGGGCGTGAGGGCTTGCCCGGTGTCTGGTGGCCCTAAGTCTCCACCTGGAGACATTGTCCACCCCCCGCCCCAGCCCCACCTGACGCCACGCGGATGGACCAGACATCGGGGAGGAAATAGGGGTCCCACACCAGGCCAGGACCCTCCATCTGTAATGTCCCATCCTGGCTGCTGTCCGTTAAACGTGGCCCAAAGTCTCAGCAGGCTGGGTGGGTCCCGAGCCCGACCTTCGGTATCTGCGGGCGAGTGGGCCTTTGGGCCTCCCCCAGGCAGCTGCCCAGAGGACCCAGGCCTGCCCGGGAGCTGGCGCCACGCGGGCTGTGAGCTCCCATCCAAGCAGGAAGTCCCCTTCTGAGAGCCAGTGTCGTTCCAGAAAGGGGCCTTCCTAACCCACCTGAGCAGGGCGGGGTCGTGAAGGCCAGTTCCGCTTTCTCCCTCAACAGGGCACTCTGCTCAGCCGACACCAGAGGCAATGCTCTCGCTTCTGGGTGAGGAAGTGAAAATTGAGGAACTGCTGCCAGGCTGGCCCTGGGGTGGGCCGAGGGACCAGCCTCCCAAGAACAGGACTCCGGACCAGCTCGCAGCCTGGCTCTCCTGGACTCGGGGCGAGGCTGGGCGAGGCCGACCTTGGAGGGAACGTCGTTAGCCAGGCTCTCATCAAAAGTCCTTCAGCAGGGACTTCCCTGGGATCCAGGTCTGAGGACTCTTCCTTCCACTGCAGGGGCTCGAGCTCCATCCCCGGTGGGGGAGCTAGCATCCTGTTGCCTGGTGGGATGGCAAAAAAAAAAAATCCTTCTCCAGCCTGGACCCCGCCCAGCAGCCCTGACCTCTCAGGTATCCACCCTGGGTGCCTTCTCAGAGTGCCACTGAGGGGTCTGGCATTTGGGGAGACAAAGATCCCATCACTTCCAGGGCCCTTGGCTGTGGGCTCAGCCTGTGATGTTGGAAAATGCTCCGGGCAGGCGGCGGGAGGTGAGCCACCAGCCCAGCCCCCCAAAGAGGGGAGGGGGCCCCTGGAGGGGCGAGGACACAGCATCTCCAGGCCCTAGGCCAGGCAGGGGTGGGGACTCACCTCTGAGCCTCAGGAGCTCAGTAGTCGGAAACCCAGGGGAAACCCCACCTGTGTCGGTGAGTCGGCAGGAGAAGACCGGGCCCTGGGGAGTTAACTCACAGGAGCCCCTCCAAGTCCAGACAAAACCAGCAGAGCCGCCAGCCCTCGGGAACCAGGGCCGTCCCAGAGCAGCACAGGGGAGGCCTCCTTTCCTCTTGTCAGCAAGCTGGGCGCCGGGGCCTTCCTTGGTTTGGGGCATCGGTGCGAGGCCTGGGAGGGCCATATGGACTTGGACAGCCCTTGGCCGGGCACAGGCCTGGTGGGGTTGGCTCCGTGAAGGCAGCCGGCTGTGAAGGCCGTGGGCGTCCGTGAGCCTGGCTTTCTGCAGCCCCTTCCCAGACCCGCCTCACCCGGGAAGCTTGGCACACACTGGCCTCACGAACCCTCATAAATCCGGGCAGCTCTTCCCAAACGCTGCTCTTGGCAGGCCCTGGACGCGGCTCCCCAGCGTGGGGCGAGGGACGCGCCCTGGACTGCAGCCACGCGGGCGGCTGGGCTGGCGAGGGGACGGGGCATGCGCCCCCCTGCCCGCGCCGCCCCATTAAAATTGCAGAGGCAGCTGCCTGGCGTATCTCGGTTCTCATGAGAAGTATAATCTCCCTCTCAACCCTCTCAACCCACCCGAGTCTGCACGGCTCAGAGGTGGGCGCTCCCCCAGCCTGCAAAGCCTCTGCACCAGCCGGGTGTGCGGGAAAGGCCCCTCGCTTGTTGCCGCTCCCACAACCGTCTCTGCCTAGAAACCCTTTCTGCCCACCAGAAAGCCCTGCCCAGGGCCTGCAGGGCGGCTTTTATCCAGCTCCCAGCCTGGCTCCAAGCCAGCGCCCGAAAAATGCCGTCAGCCACCCAGAGACCAGCTCTGGGATTCGCCTGGGAGGAAACCGCCGTCCGAATCTGGCTCATCTGGACCCGTTTTGCCTCCTGAGGAGCCCCCCTGCCCCCCGCAGGAATATGGGGGGTGGTCTGGCCAGCGGGCCCCTCCCCAGGGAGCCTGGGGTTAACTCTCATAGAGCCCCCCTTCAAAACTGGACCCCCTCGGTCTCAGAGACCCACAGCTCCCAGGCTTATAGGAAGCAACACACAAAATGCAGCCCATGTAGATAAAAAGCATTTTTTAATTTTTATCAAATCGATCTGTACAAAAGTTAGCATTGCTTGGTCAGAAAGGAGCGAAACACAGCAGGTAAGTGACAGCAAAAGTTCAAACTTGACACCGAAAAATAGATTGCATAAAAATGAGTTGCTGCAGCCCCCTGCCCCCACCCCCAGGAAGACATATGCAAAAAAAAAAAAAAAATTTTTTTTCTAGAAAAAGGTAGGAAAAAGTAGAAAAAGTAAAAAGAAGCAACATCTCAGATGTACTTAAATTTACAAAGTTTTAAAGGCACAATTTTCCAGGAAGTAGGCGGTTATCGTCGCTCAGCGCACAGCGGAAGCAGGACAGGTAAATCGGCATTTTTCTTCTAAAACTAAGAATCTAAAAACGCTTAGTGGGGAAGGTTCTAGTTTCACAGCTTGTAGGTGGCGCCTGGTTCCTAAGAGCCAAGATTAATGCGTTTCTGGAGCCACCAAGTCCCAGGAAATCCCCGCCTCCACCACTTGGCACGGCCACGTGCAGGGGTGAAATTCAGTGGCACTCTGCCTCCTAAACCTTAACTTAATGCCCGTGCCAGGGGTACCCCAACCTGATCAGAGAAACCACAAGACAAGCCCCTTCTCCTGCCTCGGGGCTCCAGCCACCTCCGGGAGACCCGGAGCTGGGGCCCTGCCACTCGGAGCAAGGACCCCCACGCTCTGCCCCGCCCATGCCTCACCCTCAGCTCTCCGGCTTCTGTCTCGTCTTAAATTCTACTCTCTGCACAGATTACTTCATTAATTAAAGATAAAATAACACAGAACATAAATACATTTTAACAGCTTTCAAAACAAATCAAATACATTGAAGCTTCAAAAATAAAAATTAAAAAAAAAATAATAAAATAAAAAGAGAGAAGTGTTAATCACAGCCAAACCTTGCTCGGAAGAACCGTAACTACAAGGAACACCTTGGGTCTAATGGGCTGGTCCCAGGAGGTGTTCCCTCGGACGCCTCCCGGCCGCGGGAATGTCATCCGTGGGCCCTGCGAGTTCTCAGTACCAAGGCTGGCCGGAGCTCGGGGGGCCCGGAGCCCCCACACCTCTTCCCTCCTTTTGTCTTTTGTGCTGTGGCTGCCACTTTGCAGCCAGGGAGATGCAAAACCCATGCCTGCTCGGAAGTGGGGCCCGGCTGGGCTTCCGAGCCGCAGTCCCCGCCAAAAGAGAGAGGGAAGAGAAGGAGGGCTTTGTCCGTGGATGGGGGTCTGGAAATGTGGAAGCAGAGGGGGCTCGTTCGCACAGCCTGGCTCCTCACGGGCCTCGGCAGGCACTTGACGCAGCCGCAGCGCCTGCCCTCGCTGCACCTTCCGAGACCCCGGAGGCCTGTGTGTCTCTGCCGGGGCGAGGCAGTCCTCGGCCGGCCCCCTCCCGTGGCCGCACCCTCAGGGTCTGGTCAGGGTGGTGTACACCGGCTGCTCCCAGTTACTGGGGGGGCTGTGGGCAGGCGGCACAGACAGGCCCCCGAGCAGGGGCGAGGCGTAGGGCCGGCGGGGTGAGTGGAAGTAGGGGTACTGGTAGAGGCCGGACGGGTAGCCGGGGAACGGGCCATAGTAGCTGGGCGCCTGCAGGTCGGTGTAGTCACACTGCGAGCTGGTGAAGGAGCTGGCGGCCGCGGCGGGGGCGGCGGTGGTGACGCTGGCCTGCGCACTGTAGGAGCCATAGTCGGTGTGGCCCGGGGAGCCGTGTGACTGGTCGCCGTAGTGCCCGGGGCTCAGCTGCTCCGTCTTGATGTGCGGCCGCGGGGGACCCGCCTCGGTGGGCGACGCGGAGGCCGACGGCGCGCCCTTGTGAGCCCACACGGGGGACGCCCCCATGCCGGCCGCCCCGGAGTGCGAGTAGGATGCGCTCCCGTAGGAGCCGGCCGCCGCGGGCTGGCCAGGCTCGGCGGGCAGGGCCGAGTGGCCGTTGAGGGGCAGGTACTGGTCGAACTCGTGGACATCGAAGGTGTCCATGTTCCCGATGACCTCGCTGCTCAGCTCGGAGATGTCCACGTTGCTGAAGTCGATGTTCTGACGCCCGCTGTCCACCAGGCGGCGGCCTTCCAGCTTCAGCTCCTGCTTGCCCCCGTGGTGCAGGTCAGTCTTGGGGGTGGTGGGCGGGGTGGGCGGCCCGTGGGTCTGCCCTGGGGACAGAGCACATTTCAGGGATGAATGCCCCTTCTGTAGGGGGTGGCTGGGCTGGCGACGCACACAGGGGAGGAAAACCCGCCCAGCTAACTGCCGCAGGTAGGAATCAACGGCTTTTTGTTCCCATATAGTTCCCAGAAATTCCAGCAAAGCCAGACCCAGACCTCACTCCGCGGCCAAGGAAATTCCGTTAAGCACTGTTCTAGAGGAAGATCTGGGGCCAGGGAGGCCCCGTCGTGACCACCAAGGTGGGGGTGGAGTGGAGGAGAGGACGCGCCCAGTCCCCCACCCATGGCAACCACAGGGTCCACACCAAACCTGTCTCCCCAGGCCCACCGCTTTTGCCAGCTCGATGTAGACTGCTCAGCTGGCCGGGATTCCACCCAGGTCAGTCTGATTCTGAAACTGAGCTGCTGACCACCAGCCCAGCAGCATGAGTGAACCCGAGGTCAGAACCAGTAAAAAGGCCAGGGAAGCCGAAAGGCCTTCCAGAAGGACAGAAAACACCCAGGTCACAGGGCACTGAGCCAGGATGAGCTCTGAGGCGCCCAGTGTCAGAGGAGGCCGAGTGGGCCCCATGGGCATCAGAATAGCTGCCTGCCAGGGCTACGGGCCTTTCCGAGGGGACTCGGGGAAGGCCTGGTTCTCTCGAGGACCCTGCCCTGCTCACCGGCCCTGGGAGCCCACCTGTGTGGTCACCGTGGTGGTGCGCGTCCCCCAGGCCGGCGTCGGTCTTGTACACGCCACCCGGGTGGTGGCCCAGCTCGGCGCCCGAGTCTGAGTCGCTCTGGCCGGTCTTCACGCTCTTCCTGCGGCGCGGCTGGTACTTGTAATCGGGGTGGTCCTTCTTGTGTTGGACGCGCAGCCGCTCCGCCTCCTCCACGAAGGGACGCTTCTCAGTCTCACTCAGCAGGCTGGGAGACAGAGGGCAGGGGCGGGATGAGCAGGCGGCTGGCACCGCCCAGGGCGCTGGCCCCGCACTGCGAGCCTGGGAGGTCCAGGGGAGCTGTGTGCCTGCCCGTGCCTCCTTGGGGGCGGGGGCCCCAGGCTGTGCGCCCCTGCACTGAGGATGGCCGGGGGCAAGCCAGGGGCGATCGGAGGAATGAGCCAGGAAAGACACAGGTCCTTCCGCTTCCATCTTCCCCCTCTCACTTCCCCTCCCGGAGCCTGTTTGTTCCCTCCCTTTGGGACTTTCTAAGGCAGGCGGGTGCAGAGGCCAGGACCCAGCTGAGCATACACTTGGACAAAGGGAGGCTTCCCGGGAGCCAAGCCGAGACTCCGGGCAGCTTGGCTTCCCAGGGCTCCAGAAACACTGGCACGACCCAGTGGTCCTCGCTGAGGCTGTGAACACACACAGGCCCCTCGCACCTTCCAGAGCTCCCCTCTAACTGCCTGCGGGCCAGGGTCTGGGGGCACAGCAGCAACGGGACACGGGCAGGAGCAGAGAAGACACAAGGTCTGAGTGCCCACTCGCGAGGCGAGGGGCAGGAGAGGGGACCAGCGCCCTGACCCCAAAGCCGTCCACTGTCAAGCCCAGGAGAGAGCATTTGGTGGGGGTGGGCTGCCCCGAACGAAGAGCAGTCCCGTCGCTGTTGCCCACCATTGCCGTCCTACTTTCTACAGAGTAGCCAGCCTCATCACAGCAATGCGGGCACCAGCGCTGACCACCCCCTGCGTCCCCCTCTGTCCCCGCTGAGGGTGCAGAGGTGGAGAAGAGGGGAAAGCTGCAGGGAGACGCTGGCAGGCAAACCACACCCTTCCATCTGCTTCTAGACTCCTGCAATGGGGTGGTTTGGGCATCCTTTCCAAGGAGCGGGCACCTCCAGAGGTGGGTCCTGCTTCTACAAAGAGGCCACTTTCCACTGGGAGGGACAGGCCTCCAGGCTCTGGGGCCATTCACAGCTGAGGTCCCCCAATTCAGCCTGCCAGTCATGGCCTAGAGGGGGCTGTTTCTGGACTACAGCCGTGTTCTCGGGGGCACACTCCTCCCGCTGCCCTCTGCCTGCCCAATCTGTCCTGTACCCCGCGCCCGACCAGGCTGGCCAGATCGGGTTTTTCCACTAGGACTCGCCCTGGGAACAGCCACTGGGAGAAGGGCCGAGGCCGGGCGCTGCGCCACCTCCCAGCTCCAGGCACCCCAGGGCCCGGTCCCCGCCCCCGGCCTGAGGACAGGCACTCACCGCCACAGCTTGCCCAGCGTCTTGCTGAGCTCGGCGTTGTGCAGGTGCGGGTACTGATCCGCCAGCTTGCGGCGCGCCGCCTGCGCCCACACCATGAAGGCGTTCATGGGCCGCTTCACGTGCGGCTTCGCCTTGAGCGCGCCGCCGCCGCCGCCGCGCACGGGCATGGGCACCAGGCTCCAGTCGTAGCCCTTGAGCACCTGCGACACGGCGTCGCGGATGCAGGCGGGGAAGCGCTCATCCGCCGCCTCGGCCGCGTCGCCCCGGCCGCCGCCCACGGCGCCCGCCGCGCGGCCCAGACCCTCGGAACCTGCGGGCGAGGGCGGCGCATCCGAGTCCGAGTCCTCCACGTGCGACATGGAGCTGGCAGTGCCAGACGGGCTGCAGGGCGGCTGGGCGCGGGCCTCGCTCATGTCCAGCATCGGGGCCGCGCGCGGAGAAGCGCGCACCGGGGAGGCGCAGCGGGTCGATGGCCGCTGCGCTGCAGCCGCTCTGGGACCCGAGGTTGCAGTGCGGTGGCCCGACCCCAGCCCGCTTGCCGCCGCCGCTGCCGCCGGAGATCGGTCCCCGCGGGGCGACCCGCAACAAGTTTCTTTAAGCGGCGGCCACAAGGCTCCGCCCTCCGCCCGGCTCCCCATTGGCCGGCACGCACCCCACTGCCACCGGGGGCGGAGCTTGGCCGCCCCCCGCCTCCTCCCCCCACCTTAAAGAAAGCGCCGAGATTCCCGCGGCGCCCCCGCCCGCCCCGCCTGGCGCTGCACCACGTGGGGCTGGCGCGCCCGGCAGCCGAGGATCGGAGGCCGGACTGTGCATCACGCAGCGGGCCCCCCTTCCAGAAGGGGAGGGAAGGGGAAGGGGGCAGCGGCGGGGAGCGCCGGGCGCTCGGGGCTCCCTGTGCCTGCCGGGGTGCTCGGCCGCGCTCCCTCTGCTGGCGCGTCCCGGCCCCGGGCGCCCAGCCCCCAGCCCGCGCAGCCAGCTGCGCGAGGAGGCGGGCCCTCAAAAGCCTACCACCCCCCTCCCCCCGGCCTGCTTCGAGCCCCGACGTCTTGCCCACAGCCCAGAGGCGCCGGGGTCAACTGCCCGCCAGCCTGCGGCCCAGGGCGGGGGTCGGCTCCCCGCCCGCAGGGCCGGCGCGAAGTGGAGGAGCCTCCCGCGTGCCAGTCTGCACGCCGCGCACGTCCAGGTAACGCGCGCACAGGGGACACGCGCTCAGGAGCTGGGCGACCTCAGGACCGGTCCGGTCCCGGCGTGGAAAGTGCGGCGGGGGCGCGGCCGCGGGAGCCGCGGCGGCCAAAGGGGGCGGGAGCGCTGGGCGGGGCCTGGGCTGACCCTAGCTGCTGAGTCCCTAGGGCGGCCCGGCGGATGGCGTGGCCGGACGCGGGGGCCCAGGGCCTTCCGGACGTGATCCGGGGGTTGGGGGCACCGAGGCCGTCCGGCGGGGCGGTCCTGGGTGGTCTGGCGGAGGCGGAGGTCGCTCCGGGCGCCGGGAGTGGAGGAGGTGGGCGCGCCAGCCAAGGAGAGAAGGGGGCGGGGTGTGCCGCCCTGGTGGGGACCGCGGGGTCGGAGAGGGGACATTTCCCCGGAGGCAAGCGCCGGGCCGCGGCTCCGAGTCCCCGCCCGAGGCCGCCCCCGCGAGTTGGCCGCGGGCCCGGCGGTCCCCGAGGGCGGCTCGGATTCTTTCGCCAAACCCGCCCTGAGACGACGGACCAGCCGCCCAGGCTTCGCCAGACTGCACCCCTTGGCCAGCCAACTCCGAACGCGCCTGTCTCCGAACTTGCGGCCCGCCCGACCCGAGTGACCCAAGGCAAGGGTGCCCAGTCCCCAACCACGCACCTCCGGTTCGGGGCTAGCAGGGGTGCAACCTAAGAAGTAGGAGGCGCTGGTCGGTTAACTCCAAATTGAAAGTCGATGATGCTTTTACCAACTTGAGCGCTGCCACTGAGCCTCTGACCTTGCAGGGAGAGCCTCTCCTCCTCAGCCTGGTGCCCCCAGCACCCGGTCCCTCCCCCCTCCCACCCACAGAGCCCGAGCACCTGGGCTGTAACCCCATTAGAAATGAGGATTCTGCACACTCTGCCTTGGAGAAAGCCTGGTTTCAGGCGGACGCCAAGCGGACTCCAGGGGCTGTCGGGACCCCACAGCCTCACATCTGGAGCTGCCGGCACCAGGGCCCAGAGGCAGGCACCCACCACCTCTGGGTCAGGGATGGGCTGCCCCACTTGCCCCGGGTCAGTGACCCTGACCTCCAGTCTCCCAGGAAAGCACCCTGAGGCACCTTGCTCTCAGGACGCTGGAGAAGGCCCCTACGGTGGAGGGAGAGCCGGCCTCCAGAGGGGCCTGTCCCGACGCCTCCCCTCCCGTTACCTGCCCCTCTCCGCGGGGTCACAGTCCACTCGAAGCGGTGGTTCCGCGCCTGAGCCCCTGCCCTCCTCTTGGGGCCCCACCTACAGCCAGAGGCCCAGGGCTGGGGGGTGCCCAGGGGCAGCTGCTGGACTTCCGGCCCACATGGACCCAGGCACCCTGTAGATGCAGGGTTGAGGTGGGGGGAAGGCGGCGGGCATGACAGGCCTGACCTGGGGACCGGATCCCACCCCCCTGGACCGGATGTGCCCTTGGGCACCAGGTCTGTTTCCATGAAGAGGAGAATGGAGCCCAGGCTGTGTTGGGCACATGGGCAGGGTGGCCTCTCCCTGTTCCCACTGACCCGTGGAGGGGCGCCACAGACTGGTGACCGCTGGGACCCCTGGAGGAAAAGAGGCTGAGCTGGAGGAGCCCAGCGCCTGATCCAGGTCACAATGTGTGGCGTGTGACCACACTGGGTGCCCTGGGCTGCAGTGGCCAGGGCTGACACAGTGCTGTGGGCAGCTTGTCACGTATGTGCAGGCCACCGTTCCCCACGAGGGGGCGGGCAGACCCCTGCCAGGGCACGGCTCGTCCCGGCTGCTGATGCCTAGAAGTGCCCCCAAAGCCCCCTGGCTGGCATGAAGGCTGTAAAATTCTCCAGGTGCGCTCCAGCCCCACCCTTGGGTGCTGACCTGGGTTCGTGTCCTGAGCTGCCAGGCAGTCCCCAAGTGGCCCCAGGGTGCGGCCTGCAGAGGAGGCGGAGCCACAGCTGGTTCCTGTACTGATGAGGCGCCCACTGTGTGCGGTGGCCTTTCTGAGCAACAGTCCCAGCCCAGAAGGTGCTGGCATCTGAGGAGGGCCAACACACCAAGCTGTGAGAACTCACCACGGGTGGGCGTGGGTGTGGGCGAGGGCGTGGGAGTGGGCGGGGTGGTCCAGGAAGGCGACTCTGAGGAGGTGACAAGTTGAGGCCTGAAGCTTCTGACCAGAGAGGAAAGAGCATGGTGGGGAGGGGGCACAGAGCATGTGCCAAGGCCTCGGGGCAGCAAAAAGCACCGATGGCAAGGTGGGGGCGGCTCCCAGTTCCCCTCCTGGCCCCCCTTTCTCTTAGCTCTTCCTTCCTGTCCCGCCCACTCCAGTCCACACGCTGCACCTTTACGGAGTGGGCTTTGTCATTTCAGGGAGATGATCTGATGGGCCAGGTTTGGAGCAGGACCCTGACCCTCAACCATCAGCCTGGGAACGCTGATGTAAGCAAGGTTTCCAGGCCTGCAGCCCCTGGCAGAGACTTCAGGGCCCTGCAGAGAAGGGGGTGTGGGCTGCCAGGCACCCCTGTGCCTATGAGGCCTGCCAGCGGAGGGCTAGAGAGCTGCAGGGCTACCCCTTCTGGGTGCAGAGGCCCCCCTAGCCCATCCACCATGGCTGCCCGACCCGCTTGGGAAGTCCCTATCTGAACGGGCTGCTGAGGGCCCCAGGCCACTGCAGAGAAGGGCACCCCGCCCATCCCCTGCCTGGCTCTCCTCGCCGACGGTCAGGGAAGCCATGTCTGTAGTTGGCCTTGGGGGGCCGGCCACGTGGGCCCCTGAGCCCTAGCGGCCGTGTGTCCTCTGTGTGTCTGCAGCCCCTGCCTGGGCCTCTTGGCAAGCGGCCCGAGGCGGTTGGCATGACATCCTGGGAACCCCAGCTGAACCTCAGGGATTAATTGGTACTTTTAATTACTGGCCGTTCTGCAGACACCAAACGTCCAGGCCAGAGATGAGGGGGCAGCTCTGAGCAGAGGCCCCATGGAGGCAGCCTCATCCTGGCCCACCAGGTCCCGGAGAGAGAAGACAGGCGCCCCAGGGCTCCAGCAGCCCCGGGGACAGACCGTCAGGGCTCTGGGCCGAGCCTTTTGCTCAGCGCCCCTCCCCAGCATCATTGCCAGCTGCTATGGAAGTTCTGGTCTGGGTAGAAACTGGTTGGACCGGCGTCCCCCAGGGACGGGCAGTAGTGGCCCTCGTCGCTCTGTGTGGAGGACTCTAGAAGGTCGCACCTGGATCCTCCCATCTCTGCCCGCAGGGCAGGGTGTTCGGGGTGTCCGTGGCAGGCACTGGTCCTGAGCAGTCGCTGCGTCCGGCAGGCACCTCCTCAGGTGCCTCCCGGCCTCCAGGCACAGGGCCCGGTCCAGGCTATCCCTCTGCGCCTTGTCACCAGCTCCACAGCCTCCTGATGAATAAACCCACACCACCTGGGCGTGCCTGCAGGCTGCCGGTGGGACCCCCGTGCTGTGGCCGTTCTTCTTTGGGGAGGGACGATGCTCAACCCTAGGAGATGGGCCCCGCGCCCAGTGTCTGCCCGGTGAGATGAGCGCACAGGTGTGTCGGGACAGCTGCAGTCTCTGCTCCGCCTCCGCTCACCCCCCCACCCCGGGTCCCCAAGCCTCCGGCTGTGCCCGTCCATCTCTCTCCAGCCAGCAGGCTTGGAGCTGGCTCCACCCGCAGTCGTTAGGTCTCTGACGGGGGGAAGAGTGTGATTCCGCTGCCAAAGCCACCTTCAGGCGGGGTCCCTGGGGTAGAGGGAGCCCCAGGGGGTCCGGCCAGGGGCCAGCAGCATCTTTCCCGGAGTAACTGGGTGCCGAGGAGGCACTGGGCTCTGCCTGCCTCTGGACGGCCCCTCCCGTTGGCCGGTAAATCCACTCCCTGTCCCTGCAGAAGGGCTCTGCATGCCACTGGACTCCTGGATCTCTGAACCCCAGTCCCATTCTGGGCCCTTGCCCCGGGACCCCAGCAATGGGACTGGAGGGACATCCTCAGTCCACCTGCAGGAGGGGACCAGGGTGTTGAAACTGACTTTAGAAAACCAGGCTTCTGAGCCCAAACAGGCTGCCAAGAGCTATGCTTTTCCCTCCAAGCTTGACTTTCTGATTTAATGAGGCCTCTTGTCCAAGGTGGGCTTCCTTTGTGGCTCAGCTGATAAAGAATCCACCTGCAATGCGGGAGACCTGGGTTTGATCCCTGGCTTGGGAAGATCCCCTGGAGAAGGAAAAGGAATACTCCAGTATTCTGGCCTGGACAGTTCTGTGGAGTGTATAGTCCACGGG